TTCTGAGCTTATCTATTTTTTTATCTGTTTCTGTTCTAGAGCCTCTAATCATGTCTTTCACTCTGCTCACCATCTCTGTAGTTATCTGGGAGATTATTTCTGCTTTGAATTTTTCTAGAGCCTCATTCATCTGTTTTGTTACTTCCTGTGCTATCAGTTCAAGGTGTCCAGGTGGTTGATTATAGGCCTTTTCCACCTCATTTTCCCTGGGGTTTACCCTTCGTGGAGTGGAAGTCTGAGTTTGTGCCTTGCTTAAATGTCTTCTCATATTTGTTTTTGGTATGTCCTTGGTTTAACTCTTGAGTTGATAGTTTGAAATTGCTTATTGTAGGTATCTTTGTTGCTTGTAATTAGAGCCCTTATGGAATGATTGCTTCTCAGAGCTGTCTTCCAGATATAGCTGGTCTTTAAGTTTTGAGTCTCTAATGACTCTGAGGCTATCACATTTTCATTATACCAGGAAGGACCTCTGACTAGATCAATACCCACACCTTAGCCCAAGTGATACAATCAGCAACACCATATCATCAAGTATGTCTTAAAAAATGACATTTTGTGGTAGTTATTAATCTATCACCTTTAACTGTGTGAATTAAATCAAAATTGAGTTCCAACCTAACATATGTTCATAGTGAATAAACTCTTCAATATAATAACTTTACCCTTTGGGATGGGGAGTTAGAAGGAGTTGGGGAGGGAGGGATAGGATAGATAGGTAGAAGGATAGGGGAAGGTTAGCAGTGAGACCAGAGGACACTGGGGAGAGAAGGAAAAAGAGAATAATAGAAAAGTAAGGAAGAAATCTGAATGAAGGCCGGAACAGGAACAAAAAGGGTGATGAACAATGTGGGACAGCAAGAAAGTGAGTGTAAGAGAGAGAGAAAGGAAAGAGAAAAGAAAGAAGAAATAAAAGAGAGAAAAACAAATTTGCAAAGAGTGGGGAAAAAAATTAAAGATAAGAGGAGAAAAAAACCCAAACCAATAATACTAATTTTGGCAATAAATAATAAAAGTGAAAATGAAGGGCCTCCTTCAAGGTATGTCTCTGCTGTCTGAATAGACAACGTGGTTAGCAGTGAGCAGATATAAGTCAATGAGTCTCAGCAAACCAGTCGCAGACCCGTGAGATTCAGGCAGATTTCTGGCTGCAAGTCCCAAGTTGAGCTCCCTGTCCTCGTATAGGGTTGAACTCTGCAGGGTTGTACTGCAGTTTCCATCTGTCCTTCCCCTGAAGATAGTCCTGGTTCTGATGAGAGGAGATGATCCCCCCAACTTAACCAGTTCAGTGGTCTGGTGGTCCGGTGTCCCCTGTGTCTTTGTAGTGTGGAACCAGGTGGCAGCATAGCTGAGAGGCCAGAGGAGCGGGGAGTGGCGGTGTGGTTGGGGGTGAGGGGTGTTCTGCAGGCTAAGTGGATCGCTTCCGGGGACGTGGGCTGGATGGAATGGGTTCCCTGCGACCGGGGACCCCTCTGCGGCATCTGCAGATGTGCCTGGCTGGGACAGGCTGGATGGGGCGGGTTCCCTGTGACTGGGGACCCCTCTGCAGCTTCCTGGCGCAGGCTGGATGGGGTGGGTCCCCTTTGACCAGGGACCCCTCTACGGCATCTGTGGATGTGCCTGGCTGGCGATGGAGTGGGTTCCCTGAGACTGGGGACCCCTCTGCACCGTCCGCGGATATGCCTGGCTGACGCGGGCTGGATGGGGTGGGTTCCCTGCGATCGGGGACCCCTCTGCGGCATCTGCGGATGTGCCTGGCTGGTGCGGGCTCGGTAATGTACCTTATTAGCAAACTTTCTTTTGTTCTTCAAGTAAAATAGTGCTTATACTATCTGTCCTAATTTGGTTGGGATAGTATGGGTATACACTTGTTGTTTCAGTATCATTACTAAGAACAATTTGTTTCATTTTCAAAAGTATACTGGTTTGTAGAGTAAGTTATCCACCATTTAAAAAATCCACCAGCAGTGTACAACAGTTTCAGTTTTCTTAACTAAATTAAATTGTAAAGTGTATTTTATGTTTACTGATTTTTTAGCCTAGGGCAATGGTGGCAGTTGTAGGGAAGGGCAGTTGTGGTGGTGGAATCATTGGGAATAACTCAGTAATTCCCACTGTTTTGTTATTACCCGCTAAGGGACCTGGTCTTTGTTAGAATCCATAAGCTCTGTTCTCTTTTTAGAACTTTTGGTGAATATTTTCTTAACTTAGTTGGGAAATAATACTCAGATTTTATCTCCAGTGCATTGTGGGTTCCTAATGCCTTTACTTCATACAGAAAGCGTGTTTAGCTATTTTTACTACTTGTTAGTTAGGAGAGGGAAAAATGACAACAAGGATAACCACTGAGTCTGCCTATTTATATTTGATTGTAGTAGTGAAAATTATCAGGAATTTGTCAGTTTACAAGTAGGCTTCTAGAGGTTGAATGGCCCTAGAGCCTGAACCCAAACTTGTCTCTGTTTCACGATGCTCTTGGTAATTTGACAGTTAGTTTAAATACTACCAATTTATTTATTCTTTTTTACTTGTTTTATTTGCTAATAATAAATTTTCTCTTCCTTTTGAAAATAATGTTTAAAGGAAAACATAGTTTTGTATCAGGTATTAAGAAATTCTTTTGAAAAGAATAATTAATTGAAACTTGTTATTGATTGCCACCTTGGTATTACATAAAATGCTCAGATACTAGCACTTAAATAAAAATATTTCAATAATCAATTTAAAATAAGTGTGATTTAGTTTATGTCAAGTTTTGGGTTAAGATGATACCCATCAGTAATGTTTATCTTAAATACATTTAGGAAAGAAATTGATTGATAATATTTTCTTAAAATAATAAAGTATATTTTTCTTAAATCAGTGTTGATTTTTTCCCCCCAGAACTGATTGAACCAGGAGTTTTCCACTGAGCTACACCCCAACCCTTTTTATTTTGAGGCAGGGTCTTACAGAGTCATTTGCCCGGGCCAAGCTTTAACTTACAGTTCACCTGCCTTGGCTTCCTAAGAGTGCTGAGATTATAGGCATGTGCCATCAAGCCTAGCTTAAATCAGTGTCTTTTATAGTTTTTTTTCTGGACTGTGAGTAGACTGTGGGACCTTTGTACATCCTAGGGAAGTGCTTTTCACTGAGCTACATTGTGTGTAGATTTTCTAGTGTAATTTATTTTTTGGTGGTGCTGGGGATTGAACTATGTTCTTTGTATGTGATATCCAAGTGCTGTACTGCTGGGCTCTATCCACATGCTGTGTGTGGATTTTCTGTCATGAAATTGGATAGGAAGAAAACCCACCTAGTTCGATAGGAATATGAGGAAATAAAAATACTTCTAGGCCGAATTACAGTTTTATAAAATTCAGCATTATATATATATGTGTCTGTAATTGTCCTTTCATGTCCTTATCTCTTTCTGTTAGAGCGTACACTTTATTTTGACTTTTTAATGGCTGTGGTAGATTTGCAGAGCTCTCTTTATGAAACCAAAAAAAGACCACACTGAAATTAAATCTGTAATAAGTGTGCCATTTGCACTTGTAAAGTTTGACTAAAGTAATTAGCTTGAAACAAAATTTAAGGCAGTATTTATTCAATAAAATTATTTGTAAAAATAACCCTGCTTTATAGAAATTAAAATTTGTAGTTTCTTTACTCTTCAATGTTGTTTAGTATGTCAGGCATTAAACAAAATGTAACATAGTAGTTTATACATAAAAATATGAGGAGATATTATCATGATTGTATGTCAATATATAATAGTGCAGAATGAGAAATTTTTTGGGTGCTGACAATTTTTGATTTGATCTCGGTACAAGTGTCTTCACTGCAATGTGTGTATGATTTTTGTGCTTTCTGTGTATGACATATTTCAATTAAATATAGAAATTGGTGTTAAAGTTTGGAAAAACTGATCTTTTCTGCTTATTGTTTTTCAAGGAAATGATCATTGACAGAGTAAATGGACAGGCGGTTCCTAGATATTTGATATATGACATAATTAAATTTAATGTAAGTACCTTTCGTAATGCTTCTTTTTGTTTTTTTTCTGAGATAGGGTCTTGTATGTAGTTAAGGCTAGCCTTAAACTTGCTACAAAGCCCAGGCTGGCCTTGAACTTGCAGTCTTTCTACCTTAGGCTGCTGAGTGCTGGAATTATAAGTGTATACTACCATACCTAGTTTATAATGTAGAAAATTATTAATTTATAAAATAAAAATTGTCACTAGAGTGACAGGTATATTTTTAAAAAAATGTATTTGTTACTGCCTCAAATAGTAAGAAAGAAAAATTGTTACTCAGGTTGTATGTGTGTCTATCATGCACTCATTGGACATCTTTTTTTATTAATACTTTTATATCTCCTTTTTTCTTGCATTGCCTAATATATTCCATACATATTTATCTTTAGGTTACTTTAACTTCAGTTAAGAAAAACAGTTTAACTCTGATAGAATGAGATAATGTTTTGTGAAATGGAAATTACTTTTTAAAAAAATTACTTGGTTTTAGTTATCTTGTACTTGGTTTTAAAAAGGCCACGTTTTATTTCTCAAAACATGAATAAAAACCATCAAAAGAGAAATAATTATGAGGCATTGAAGGTATAACTTGAAGATACAACTATATCTTCCTGTTCATGTTTAATTATAATATGAATGTCTAAATTACTTAGGCAGTACAAGATAACTTTTCTGAATAAAAGAAAATCAGTAGTATACATCTATGAAAAGGCATAGTCATTCCTCTAGATGTGTGTTATTCAAATTGCATCATCATTTAATATTCAAGTCAGACTGAAAACATTTAGGAATTTTGGACATAAAACTATTTAAGTTTTAAAGTTTTTAAAATTTATGAGGAAATAATTGCAGCATGTAAGCTTCAGAATTGCTGTAATCCAAGTTGGTTAATGGCATTTTTTTTCCTGAAAATTTTCAATGTATGTATCTAGTTTTTTGGGTTGAATTTGTATATTTCAAATACAGAGTTTCAAATTTAAGAATCTCAAGGCAGCTGGGCGTGCGCCTGTAATCCCAGTACTTAGGAGGCTGCGGCAGGAATATTGCTGCAAGTTCAAGGCAAGCCTGGGCTACATAGTGAATTCAAGGCTAGCCTGACTACATAGCGAGATCCTGTCTCCATCCCCCTCCGCCCCAAAAAAAGAACCTGAAGGCTAGAAAACATCAAATTTTCATTTTGTTATGTATGTAATTACTATATTCCTCAAAAATAATGCTTTCCAGAGTTGGCTAATGTTTTCACAGATTCTGGTATAACATTCATTGGCCTATAAGTAGACCTAAAAGGTGGAGATGGCTTTGTTTCTATTGGAAATCCAATGGAGGTTTCTTCTCTCATCCTATTTTCGGTTTTTATTTTATGGTTCAAAGCATAAATGCTTTGAGGACACTCAAAGCAAAGTTTATTGGGGGAGAAGTGAAGATAACTACCTTATAAATGGATAACTTCGAACATATTATGTAAAGTTTTTCTGTATTAGTTCTTAGAGTTGAGAATGTGTTTGTCTAATAAATATCTTCTTGACACTGTAAAGTGTCAGCACCATAAACCACAAAAATACCATTTCAGGTGACTCCTGCTTATTTTGATGTGTCATTCATTCTCCTGAATTATATGGATTGCATACAGATATTTTAATGAATTATATAAATAATAAAAATGAGTAGTCAGTACATTAATGCTTTAATTCACATGTGAAATATTTGGATCAATTTATAGTAAATTCGTGCCACTTTCTTAACTGTTTTATGAAGAAATGGCCTTAAAGTACTGTATGTACTTTTAGATATATTTGTATTACTAGTCAAACTGGTTATGTGGGCTGGCATGCATGTACTAGACGGCTCTAAAGGTTACTATTTATAGAGACTACTGTATACAAGGTGCCAGCCTTAATAATTATTTTGATAAATGATTTAATAATAATTTGGGGGTTGAAATTAAAAAGTTGTCTTTATAATTCAGGCCCAGCCAGTTGGAGATTGTGATTTTAATATTCGTCTGCAGTGTATAGAACGAGAAATTATAAGTCCTCGACATGAAAAAATCAAGAGTGGGCTCATTGACAAAACACAGGAACCATTTAGTGTCAGGAATAAGCCATTTTTTGACATTCATGCTTCAAGAAAGGTAATGTTTACTTTTTTTTTTTTTTAAGCTGGCCTTGAATTCAGGATCTTCCCACCTTAGCCTCCTGAGTTGCTAAGCGTATAAACATATGACACTGTACTCAGCTATTTTTGTTTTCTAATTCATGTATCATAATTCAGCTTGTGAGAGGAGTGTGAATGACAGTTTGCTGCTCAGTTATCTTGACTTCAGCAGAAATAACTGAATCGGATATAGCACTATTGACCAAACATGTGGTTCCCAGGCTTTTCTTGTTTAATAATATTCTCAGTTAGTGGAAACTTAAAGTAGGTTCTTTCTTTGTCTCTCATAACAGTTTTTGATTCATGGTCATTAGTCTGTATTATTGTTATCATCAACATCATCATTATTACTTTTTGAAACAGAGTTGATCTTGAACTTGTGATGCAATCCAGGCTGGCCTCAAACTTTCTGTTCTCCTGCCTCAGCCTCCTGAGTGCTGGGATTATAAGTGTATATCACCATGTCCAGCCATACTGCTTTGTTACAAAGCTATAAAAACTTAAGAATCATATCAAGTAAAAATAATTTTTTAGGTCTGCTTCTACTCCTCCTAAAGGTAAATAGTGCATGGTGAGGTACATATTCTTATTTAAAAATGCATATATATATATATATTTTTTAAATTTTTGTTGTTTTAACACTTAAAATTGATTATACCAAATATTCTGGGACTGTTTGTGTTTTCCCTTAATATGGCTTAAAGATGTTTTCATGTCAGTGCATAGAATGTGCCATCTTATTTTATCATGGTATTGACAGTAAAGATCTACCTACCATACATTATTTTATTATCAATAGACTTAGATTGCTTCTAGTCTTCGCTATTATTGACATTGTTCCATTATTTGCTTATATGAGAATTTCTTCAGCATAAGTTGAAGTAGAATTTTAGGTGTAAAGATTGTGGATTCTAGTTACTGTCACCAGATTGCCTTCCAGATAAAGCCATTTCCTCTCCAGCAGGGTAGGTCATTTTCCTCTCCAGAGAGAGCTCATTCCTTCTGTTGTTGCTCATGGTCCTTTCCTTCCTGGCCTACTGACAGCCAGAAATACACTGATGCGCAGGTAGCCATGAGTTCTACTGTCGAGCAGGGGACTAGGGTATTTCCTTGCTCTGTGGGTTCTTTCCAGGGCACTTAATATTAATCCTGCCAAGGCTTACTCACCTGTAATTTGTGATTGTAAGTTATGGGTTTATTACATGAATTTAATGAAACTGTATATAAAGCTCTTAGAAAAGTGCTGGATATATAGGAAGCATCCAATAAATGCCAATTACCATTATTTTTATTTTACGGATTTATAAATACTTTTCATTCAGTCTAATATGATATATTTAATTTTATGATGATGTTTTCCATAAATGAAAAGTTGAATTTTTATGTATCTAAATTTGGCAGTATATTTCTTACATCTTCTGGATTTTTCATCTTACTCAGGAAGCCTACATCTCTAAAATACTCTTTTAAATTATTTTCTAATATTTATTATCTTCTCTTTTTTTTCTTTTTTGGAGATCGGGTCTTGCTGTATAGCTGGCCTTGAACTTGTGATCCTCCTGCCTCAGCCTCCTAAGTACTGGGGTTACAAGTGTGTACCACCAAATCTGGCTAGATATTTTATTTTTAATCTTTCATTTTCATTTTATCCTGGAATTGTCTTCTTTTTCCATAGTCTATCTGGTATCTTGAAGTTTTTTCTACTCACTGTCTTTTCTTCTTAAGATCTCTCAATATTATTAACTCAGTTTATGCTTCATTTCTTCCTTTTCTTTTATCATTTTTAATTTTAATACCACCACAAGTATTACTGTTAGTAGTACTGTAGTATTTGTTTTTACTAGGCTATAGACCATATCTTAACATTTGAAAGCAAGCATACTTTACAGTTTCTGCTGTTAGGATATGACATATATACTGTGTGTTGACTATTTCTTAAAATGTTCTTCATTTCTTATTAATGCTTTTGATGGGATTCTTTATTTCTTTGTATGCAATTTACATATAGTGTGTTCTTTATCCCTGTTGTGAGTTAGTATGTTTATGATACATTGACTTTATTATCTCTTAGTTTCTTTTTTTCTCTTTCCTTCCTCCTTTTATTATCTATTCATAGTTTTGAATATCTGTGTTTGGCAGTGGTTAATTTTCTTAGCAAACTCGATTGAGGCTTCTGATTGCTGGAGGTATGTTAGTTAACAGTCATAAAGTTCTACTTTCCTTATCTGAAAGTAAATGTGTTTTCAGCAAGCATACCACATGGTCCTATATTTGATTATGTGTTGATAAGTATTTAAAACTTTTCAGAGGTTTTAAAAAGGATAATGGGTCACATTTTACCTTAAAAAGATTATTAGCCATTTCCTAAGAAGCTGCAAAGAGTGATATACCTAGATTTAGAAAGCTGTTTTGGGAGCCAGTTTTTTTCTTTTTATATTTATTGTGTGTTCAATTTATAGTTTAGCTTAGAAGAGAATAAGTAAGATACTGGTGCTTTTATATGAGAATTGCACAGGGCATCCAAGAAGTTGTATTTTGGTGGAATACTAGTTTATAAACTACTAACAACCACTGTTCTTTTTTTTTTTCTGAATGCATAAATTCCTTTATTGAAAATATTGGGTAGCACTGCATTACATAGTCAGTATCCATAAATGAAGGGTCACACATTTCCGACTGGACAATACTGCTTTAAATAAGAGAACACAGCAGCTGGAGATGCCCTCGGGAGTATAGTATCATGGACTAAACTAGCTAAGAGTGAACTCTACGCGGAATGACCGTTTAGTAACAGCACACGGCTGCAAATGGGAGAAATGGTCCACATGGTCGTCATGAGACAGTCTTGCTATCTCACACTAACTCATTGCATATTGAGCACATCAGGCTGAATCGCCAAAGACTTGTTCATCACAAGATCCCAACAGGATTTGGCTAGAAGGACACCTGGGCCACAGATTTGAAATTTTATAGCATTCACTCGAAGTTAACAACCACTGACTGTTCTATGCCAGGTTTAGGGGATTCAAATAACTGTGGCCACAAAGAAGCATCACTATCTTTTTTATATTCAACCCAGGAAATATTATTTGTACAGGAACAGGTTTATGTTAGAATTGTAAAGGTTGTATGTCACTATATGCAACTATGTGTTTTTTTTTTTTTTTGGTACCCGGGATTGAACTTGGGACCTCGCGCTTGTGAGGCAGGCAGTGGAAGTACTGAGCTAAATCCCCAGCCTGCAGCTATGTGTTTTAAGCTCTTTTCTAGCATAATCTCACACTCTAGATGATGTAAATTTTTGTTAAGTTTTACTGTTTCTGCTGAAAACCGTTTAATTTGCTAACTTTAATTTGTTAACTTTTAGATATATTATTAGCAATAATCCCTGGACTCTTGACTGGATGTCTTTTTCATCTGAATAGATACAAAGTTGGCATTCTCTTTTTATAAATATTTGGTATAAAGCTTGCTTGGCAGGATGCTCTTGGTTGACCTCTGCTGCCATGGTCTTCCCCCTGCTAACTGAAGGTCTTTCATGTCTGTTTTGGCCGTAGGAATTTTACAGGCCAGGGAGACCATGTAATGCTGTACCTTGCCTAATGGAAGGCTAAAGATACATTTAACATTTGTATTTTAAATAAAGTATAAAAGTTGAGCAGAAGCCAAATTACTTCAATTTGCATTCATTTTAAAATAAACTAATTTGACAGCCTGTAATGTTATAATTTAGAGTTCAGCATTTAAGAAAAAATGTCTTAGGTAGTATAATGCCCTTAATCAAAATCAGTGCTGCTTAGACATACAATTGGTTCTCCATATCTGCAGGCCCTACATCTAACTGTGCATAAAAGATATTTGAGGAAAAACATGTCTGTATTGAAGATTTTTTTCTTGCCATCATCTAAACAAGGCAGTATAACATATATTTACATAGCACCTACATTAGACATTTAAAATCACCTAGAGATGATTTAAATATATGAGAGGATGCATGCAGACTATATGCATGTACTATACTATTGGGACTTGAGCATCTGCTGATTTTGGTTATATACACAGGGATGGGTTGGGGAGGTATTGGGGTGAGGGTGGTGGTGATTCTGGAACCATTTCCCCTAGGATTTCAAGGGAGGACTGTATTTGCCTTGTGTGACATCAGAACTGTTCTTTAGGACTGAAACAATTATGTAGAAAAACTTTTCGTGTAAATTTTCACGAGAAAGACACGGTGTTTTCTTATATTTTTCTTTGTATAACTCCTTTTTTATTCACAGGATATTCTTTAGGTAAAGCAATTCTGTTATTTGGGCTTTTAAATATAAGTGTCCCATCTCCTCTTTCAGTTTTATTGTTATTTTTTGTCTTCATTTACTCATACTGAAATGTTTTTAATCATAGAATCCAAAAGGAAGACACATTTTTGCAGCAGAATTGCAACATTCTCAATAATAACAGTATAGGACAGTATTTACATTTTATATGTTATTGCTATAGATTCTTACTTTTATCTTTGCTAATGGGAATGGCAAAATAATGATGTGAAGAATGATAAAGCATTTGACAGGGGAGTATGTATCATTTCTTTGAAGAAATAGTTTTATGTGGTTCAAAAAATTTTAATTATGGAACATGCAAACTTTTTGTAGGAAGTAACAATATCAATTCTATATATATTTTGTTTTTAAAAAATTCCATATATCTACAAATCTTGGTTTGACTTTAATGCAGCTTTATTAACATCTTCATTTTGTGTAATTTGATGTATCAAAGACAGTGAGGGGAGCTGTTCAGTCTTTAACTTTAATATAGTACATAGTTGGAATAAAAATTCAGTATAGTTGCAGCCAGTTGCAAGTTTTCAAATTACAAATTCTATTTACATTTCTAGTTTGAAGGTCAACTGAAAAAGAATTATTTAAGTAGATTAAATATGGTAACATTCTTCAACCATTTTTCATTGTCTTACAAAAATAA